CTCTGAACCTGGGATAAGCAGAGGTGGAAACACACTTTTGTACTGCTAGTTTGGCTGGAGTTGAGGCACGTAATGGGAGCTCACCCTATCATTAAGTACTTGGATCTTGAGCCGCCAACCTTCCAGTTGACAAGCCCAGGTTTTAATTATTAAGGCAATACCACCCCATTTTTCTTGCTTAAATTTCGTCCATTAGCAGCTGGGTGCGGTCTGTTATGAACACCTGTCTATTAGATGCTATTTATTGACAGTACTTCATTACAAACAGATGCAAGGCCTTTCACAGAATTGACCATTGTGACATAAGTTGTCTTTACCACATTTGCTGTTGACTGAAGGATGCTTTAAGTTTAGCAAAGCAAGCAATGCTGGGATGATAATCTCCTATTGTCAAAAGAGGGATTTAACTCAAAAAGGTCAACACAAATATTTTAAAAAGCAAAGGTGTGCTGGTTTTCCCTAATGATGCCTTCTGGGGAACACCAAACCTTGTATGCTATTTTTCCAAGTTTAATTTTAAAAAAATAATAATTGTCAAGATATGGAATTTGGAAACCTACATAAAAATTAATTAGATGTTTGATCTTTCTCAAGCTAGCTGCTTTACACTCTCTGGCATAAATTCGAATATTGCTGCTTATTACCGGATTGAAAAATTTGGACCCTCTGACCAAGGCACAGGAGCTATTTAATCACCCTGGGGGGGGGGGAAATGCCATAAACTGACAATTATTCACAGACAGCATCTGATCCCAGTCCTCATTTTCAGAAGCCAATACAATTAATCATCCCTCAGGGATATCTCTTTCTTTTAACTCAAAGATGCATAACAAATTTACTTGAAACCACACCCACAACAAACAGTGTGTTCCAGTGGTGGGATTCAAATTTTTTTTACTACTGGTTCTATGGTTGTGGATACTGCAAAATCCCATTCCCTCCCCACCCCACTAGCCTGCTTTCCAGCTCTGTTCTCCTGTGCAGGGCAACCAAAGAAGACCCAGCCGATCAGCTGGGACTCAATTGGAGGCGGAGAATAGTTGGGGGCGGGGCCAGTCAGAGGTGCTATTTGCCAGTTCTCTGAACTACTCAAACTTTCCGCTACTGGTTCTCCAGAACCGGTCAGAACCTGCTGAATACCACCTCTGGTGGTGTCCCCAAGGTGTGGTTAAAATAGTCAAGATGGGGCAATAAAAGTGGATTTTTTAAACATGTCTTGTATGTGCCCATTAAAAATAAGGCAAGGTTTTGATATCATCATGGCTACCATATTTTTATTATTATTATTATTATTATTATTATTATTATTATTATTATTATTA